CATGTTAATTTTTGCAACACAGATATATGCTTAGATCTTTTGGGGGCTGCTGTGAGACTACCAAAATCCTCTCCCTCTCTCTGCCTTTCTCAGATTTGACACCTACAGATCCAAGAAAGAGAGTGAGCGCCTGGTCCAGTATTTGAATGCGGTTCCTGATGGTAGAATCCTCTCTGTGGCGGTGAATGATGAAGGCTCCCGAAACCTGGATGACCTGGCCCGGAAAGCTATGACCAAGCTAGGCAGCAAACACTTCCTGCACCTTGGATTTAGGTACTAGCCTCCTTCCCTCTGTGCCAGGTGCTGGAGCCCTTGACACCCAGAGCTAACTTTTCTCATGCCCCCTGGGCAACTCGACCTTAAAGGATGCCCCTGGGGAATACAGGCACATTGCCTGTATGCACTGGCCACAGTGGGGCTTGTGCTTCACTGGAGCTTGTTACTGTGTTTTATTTATTTATTTATTTATTTATTCATTTTTTTTTTTGGCAGAACCAGAGATTGAACTCAGGCCCTTGCGCTTGCCAGGGAAGCGCTTATTCCACTGAGCCATCTCCCCAGCCATGTTATTGTGTTTTAATAAGTGCAGCCCACTCTTTAACCCTAAAGGTCTCTGATTCACTCAGTCAGCCTCAAAGCTCTGAGCGTATGCTGTGTGCCTTGGATGTACAGCTAGTGTCCAATTTTTCTTTTCTTGGCAAGCGACTCATGTCCTATCTTGGAGACTGGCAGACAGTTTTTAAAGGATTACATAAAGTATCTCTGTTTAGCCAAACATGCAAGGAAAAGAAGGCATTTGATATGCTCCAGTGAGTGTTTTATTCGCTTCGAACTATAGCGTCATGCCTGGCGTTGGTGCACACAGGTTGGCGCTGAGGGACGCTGTTTGCCCTGCAGTAGTAAGCACACCTCAGCTCAGTGGAAAGTCGAGCTTACCTGTCTCATGGGCATTTTGGAGCTTGCAATGCCTCTTCCTCTGGCTTCCAGATCTAGGGCGAGATGAGGGACAGGTGAGAGCCCTTTCTAGTCTCAGAGTACAGCAGCTTTACTGGCTAGGTGGAGGCTCCATAGGCGAGGGAGTGTGCTGGGGTTCCAGGGTGCGTCCTTAGACAGCCCAGGGTTTTTCTTTCTGGAAGGGGACTCCGCAGGAAGCTCACACAGCCAAAGATGACAAGACTATCTTGGCGGGGCAAGCCTCCTTTGTTAGCAAGCCCTAAGCATATCCAAGTCATTTTCTTATAACCAAACACCAGTTCATTAATTTGTAATGAGAGATAAAACCACAGAGGACTGGCAGCTTAGGACTTAGCAGAAGATGGCGATAGCTGAGGCTAGAGTCTGGCATCTGATGGTTTAGATGTGGGGCTAAGCTGCTCCTCCTCCAAGGTGTGCCCACAGGCAAGTGACTCAGCATCTCTCTGCATGGACCCTATGTGTGTCAAATGGGCTATCTCAAGGACCTTAGAATTGCATGTGATAGGGCTAGCCAAATAGCTCAGTGGATTAAAGTGCCTGTAAGCAGGCTGCAGGGGCTGGGGGTTCAATCTCCAGGCCTGCTGTGCCAGCCCTGCCCCCAGGGCATGCTGAGACAACAATTGAGACTAGGTGTGGTGGCATGC